TATTGTATACCCCCTTTACTTATGGGAAAATCTACTTCTGAGTCCTTATTTTCTGAATACATTTACCATTTGTGTGTGTGTGTGTGTGTGTGTGAGTGTGAGTGTGTGTGTGTGTGTGTAAAATGTTTCAGGAATTCTGACCAAGTCTACAGTGTAAAGGCTTAGGATCTTCAGCTCCTGGCCTGGCTGGGCCCCTGTGATTATCATGTAGCATTGTTTTTCCTATGTATTGAACAAATGCATGGCATGGGAACTGATACTCAGGTGGCACATTAGGTATAAGAAGGAAAGCCACCTGCACCCTGCCTTAGGCTCCAGGGGATTCATTGGGTTTGTTTCTGATTGGTTAATCAGAAGGCTGAGCCATTCTAGATGTTGAACCAGGAAATGGTACCTTCAGAAAAGAGTGAGGTAGTGTCCTGAAAACCAAATCTCTAGGGTGCAGTTGACCTAAGGAGTACAATTCCTTTTATCTTTCTGGCTTTTAAAATGCTACTCATTTCAACTTCATGTCACACCAATCAGCATGGGACAAGTGTCAAGGGTGAACCTGGCCTATGCCTTTAAGCCATCGTGTCTTGAATTGCACTGACAGTGCCAATCCCTTTGGCATGTTTGTTTATCAAGGTGAGAGAGAATAGACACAGCTAAAACATTTGTCTTTATTTCTAGCTGTAATTTGGCTCAACACCAACATAGGTACCAAAGCTGAGCTAAACATGAGGTGAGAAAATAGATTGGATCTGTGAGTTTACTGAGATCTCGGTCCAGTTAAATAAGCTAGTAAGACAAGTTTTGGGAATTTCCATGGAAGATCTTAAAATCAGTTAATGACTTTTCAGGTGAGTGTGATATCCAGGGTAAGCTTTATACCCAGGTAACATGTTGATTCCTTAGTGTCTTACTCACCAGTGCTATTTATGTTAGGAGTATTCAAAATTTCATTTTAGATCAAATTATCTAGGTATGAATTTATTACTAATTCTGGAATACCTTCTGTATGTGGTGATTATACCTTACCAAGTAAGGCAATTATTATTGTTGTTGTTATGATTTGAATATATGATTTGAATGTCCTTCCAAAAGGCCTATGTGTTGGAAGCTTAATCCTCCGCTGGTAGCACTATTTTGGAGATTCCGCAAACTCTCTCATTCCTCTCTAGAGGAATGAGATCAGTGGGGGCGGGTGTCTTGTCCCTGAACTTCTGCTCCCCCCATATATTCCTGCTGCCACCATGTTCTACTCAAAGGTATAGGGCCAAGAACCATGGGCCAAACGCTCTGAAATCATGAGCCAAAACAAATCTTTCCTCCTTTAAGTTGGTTATAGTAAGTGCTTTGGTCACAGTGATGAGAAAATTACCTAGGATAATTGCCTAGCATTTGAGTACTCACTATATGCAGGTACTATGATGCTTTATCTGTTTTTGGACATTTTATTAGCATACATTAATTGTAACATTTCTACACGTGCATACAATCTATTGACCATATTCCTTCTATCATTCTCTCTTATATCATGGTTAATCTTGACTGTCAATTTGATTGGGTTGAAAAACACCTAGCTGATGGTAAACCATATATCTGGGTGTGTCTGAGAGAAATTCCCCCTACCCCCCCCCACAGACAATTAGCTAAGGTGAGAAGACCCACTCTTAACGTGGGTAGCATCATCCAAAAGGCTAGAGGCCCAAGGAGAATGAAGGTGGGAGAAAGCGAAAGCTTGCTAGAACACATGTTCTCCTGTCTGCTTCCTGAGTACCATGAGCTGAGCACATTTGCGCTACCATATGACCTGACCACCCACCATGCTGCTCTGTTTTGCTAAGGAAATAGGAGCATAGAACAAGTATCTGTGCACTATAGTCTCTGAAACATCTGGAAAAAAGTCTTTTCCCCTTAAGGTGTTTATATCAGGTATTTGTCAAAACATCAAAAATTAGCACCATAGGCACTCTGCTACTTTCTCATACACACTGCTTTTCTTCTTAGGGCCCTATTTTTTGGAGTGGTATTTAATTTAATTGAAGGGTGTTTAAACAATTATGTAGCAGCCTAGTAACTTGCTTGAGGTCACTAGTAAGATTCAGACCCAGCTTTGTCTGACCTTAAAGGCTGTGCATTTATATACCAGATTTTAAAAGCATATCAGCCCACACTGGAGGCTAAGTCAGGAGGATTGAGAGTTTGAGGTCAGCCTGGGCTACATATTACAGTGGCTTTATACATACTCTCACTGGGCAGCTGAACTCTTCCATTTGGAATTTCAAAAGATTTTAGTATTTCTTTTAGACTTACTTTTATTTCTAAAGACACTTCAGGGCTCTGCACACAACAGTAATTTTTTCATTAGTTTTTGAAAACTGAATGGAGATGAGAAAGATCTTCACGATTATCAACTGCTTATGTTGAAGTTGAAGGAAAGGAATAAAATTAAAAAGCTTGAGAAATGTAATGCATTCCTGGGGACATTGCAAAAACAAAAACAAAAAAAAAAACGAGGACATGTCTTGATCCACAAAGAATAGGATAGGGAAAGTGAAGATACTCAGGGTCAATCCTGGTAACTGAATGAATCTAGTTATTTTAAAAATGCAGTGTGACTGATAAGCTAACAATGTGGATTTTCTTAGGTGCCATTGTGACATATTCTCTGATACACTTATATCATGACCAGTTATGGTTTTCTCTCTATCATCCACCTGGAAGTCCACACAATGACCTAGTAACAGCTCACCTTTTTAATGTTCAATGTCCATAAAAAGGGCCAAAAATGATGGCATAAAGGACATGGGCTTAGTTAGCAGTTGGTGAACTTTGGAGCAAGACAGATGGTGGAGCTGACAGTGCTGTAGGAAATGCTTCTCCCTGTTAGCAAGCCTGTCAAAATGTGCTCCTCTGCTGTAGGAGGTGAGGGAGGAGACAGTTTTTTTTATTGGTGTCTATAATATAACATATGCTGTATGCTTTCCTTATAAGAGATGTAGGTCAAGGATCAACGTGATTTTCCTAAGTGTATTTTGTGATGATTAGAAATGAGGAAACAGCTTCATGATGAAAAAAAAGCACAACACTTTTTTGCAACAATTTCTGAATTTATTATAGCTAACATGTTGACTTCCTCTCTGGAGGAGTTTGGCCCCAGGTTGGCCGAAATTACCACCTACCACTAAATGTAGGTTTCTTTTTTGTCTATCCCACTTATAAACTCTTAAGAGATGATAGTTTCTGTTGTCAATGACTCCACATCCTGTCAACTTCCTCTGTTTTCATCCTTGTTAAACCTTTTACCATTCAGTCTAAACATATAGCTGATTCCTTGAGTCCTTGCTCAAAGCCATGTATTACCTCCATCCCATTGTTTCTAGATAGATTGGACTAAGCATTGTATCTTGACATGGAATTATCTTGATTGCTTTCCTGTTTCTAGCTGCTGCTTTATTCAAATCATCCTGGCCATCAGTTGTCTGACGAACTTAAAGCAGGATAATCAAGCAAGTATGCTGTCAGCTTTTTAGTGATCTCACTGCCTGTGGCAGCCATCAAACCCCTTCCTGTTCTTTCCATTGACGGTCTTCTATTTCTGAGACATCCACAGACTCTCATCTGTTACTTTCTACACATGGATGCCACTTCCTCCCTTCCACTTCTGCTCAAGGTTGTCCTTTATTATGAAGTGTCCCTAGAGTGTTAAAGGCTTACATGTTCAATGAAAATGACTCTCTACAGCATTTTTAATTCCTTAGGCACTGAATCGTACCATACAACCAAAAGTGAACATGAAACATATACCTGTGATTGTGTCTGAAATGCATTTCTCGCCACCAGATAAACTGTTCAGACTTCTTTTGTCTCTATTAGCTTTATGAAGGCAAATCTTTTCAAATCACCTTGGGTGGTCCCTACAAAGGAAAGTTCCTATCATTTACACACTGCAGGGCCATCTTTGCAAAGCACTCTTCCTTCCAAACACTGAAGTCAGAAGGTCTTTTCCTGTGCAGTTTCACCTGGGCTTTTCTTGATGGATTGTGTCAGCCAGCTCAACAATGTGACATCGTTTGTGAAGAGTCTTCTCTGTACGGAAACCATGATTTTAAAAGGTGAGTTTAATAATAGCTCTTTCCCTTTTCTCTACCAATATATTTTGTGTGTGCCAGTCCTGGGGTTTGAACTCAGGGGCTGGGTGCTCCGGAGCTCTACCACTGGAGCTCAACACCACTTCCAGCTTTTTTGGAGTGTTTTATTGAAGGGTCTCACGGACTCTCCTGCCTGAGCTGGCTCCAAACTGTGATCTTCTGCTCTCAGTCTCCTAAGTAGCTAGGATGACAGGCGTGAGCCACCAACGCCTGTCAGGAATGTATTTTTTTCAAGTAGTTATTATTTGGGAGGTACAGTCATATATATGAACTTATCCTTACAATAATTTTGAGATGGATTTTTATTATCTTCTTGTTGCAAACTATGAAATCAAGGCTCGTCTGGATATTTTGTTTTAGGAAGTCTGTCGGGAAGAGAAGCCATGTAGGAAGCATGATTATCTTCCCATGTATGCTATAATGATTCATTTCATTGTTGGAGTATTAATAAGAATTACCCAGGGCTTTAGTGAAAGTAAACCACTCTATTCTGTTTTGCCTCTTAGTAGGCAAAGCCTTGAAATTCACCCTTGTATAATGATGGCTCTATAACTACAACCTGACAGATGGGCACTTCTTGGGCTGCCATGAGCCTATGGAGAAAAGCCTATCAATGTGTGGGTTAAGTCACTAGTGAACAATCCTCATTCTTACAAAACCAGGTTATACAGCAGCCAGGTGCTAATTCACTTTAGTTTTGTAGTGTTTCCTGGCTGTGTGGCTGCAAAATGTGCACAGGAAACACACACACACTGTGGTTTGACACAGGCGCTCAGGTTGCCGCTGATGAATATGCATGATGGGCTAGTGTTCTTGCCACTTGAGCCTGACTCTCCCTCCACGCACACCCCCCCCATGCCCATTTCCTGCCTACCACTTGAAGACGTTCCTTGAGGAGGTTTGAAAAAGTGAGTTGTTTCTCCAATTCTGGAGCCTTTTAATTTCTTTCCCCCTCTGAAAAGATGATGACAAATTACACCCTGATTTATTTTTATTCACTGTGAGTCATTTGCTAGTCTTATTTTATAAATAATATTTTCTACATCTTACTGAAAAGCAGATGGGAAAGTTCATGGAAACTCACCCTCTGGGACAGAGGAAAAGTATGTGGGTCTGGATTGGTAGGATGAAGTCCTGATAAGCAGCCCTGCTATAGGAAATGAACAGATGGCAAATGGCCCTCACAAAGCAGCATTTAGCGAGGGGTTTTCTTTGTTTCAAGAGTGGTTGTTATTCTGCTCTTACTGCGAACTCTGTGTACTCCTCAGAACACAGAAAACAAGTGAGAAACTCCTTCCTAGTATTCATAAAGCAAACCACTGGAGCTGGAGGCTCTTGAACAGTTGGGAGCTTTCATCCATGTTCTTGCTCATTGTTGTTACATGTGGTCTTTGTGAGAGGAAGTGGGGGAGGGGAGAGGAGCCCTGAGCCTTGTGTAAGCCAAGAGGCAGACAGAGCTCCAGAAACCCACGTGGTGAACAGCCTGCTCCGGGAAATGCCAGCATGTGTTGCTCCCCAATTTGGCATAGAGAAGCAACTCCTGTTTGACATACTTCATGCAGCAGACAAGGAGTCGCAGGGGTGTTTCCTCTGTTCGAGCAGTAATGAATGAGGGAATGGGCAAATGGAGGTTGCTATGCAGTTGTTTTGCTGTTGATAGGGGAACAATGCCAGACAGTACTTGAATGCTGAGAACTATTTCATTTTTCTGTGGAAGTCCTGCCTTTCCATAAAAGAGCCTACCCTAAAAAGTGTTTTCCTTAAATAACAATAGTTAGGGAGAAAGAGTAGCTTGTAGATAGGCTGCTCTTATTTCTCTATGGCTGGAAATCCCTCTGAGATGTTACTTATGAAATCCAGCTTGCCATAAATCACTGATTTATTTCTTCCTCCTCTTCCTCCTCCTTTTTCCCCTCCCCTCCTCCTCCTCCTCCTCCTCTTCTTCTTTTTCCTAGACTTGCTCCTCCTCCTCTTTTTTCTCCTCTTCTTTCTCCTCTTCCCCCCTCACCCCTCCTTCTTTTGGTGGTACCTAGGTTTTAAACTCAGGGCATTGCATTTACTAAACTGATGATTTTCTATTGCTGAGGAATGCCTCTAGCCCCCTTTTGTTCTGGTTATTTTTATGATTGGCTCTCAATTTCTGTCAGGCATACTCTGACTTGGACTTTGCCTTACCTATTGTAGGATTCTTATAGTTGTTGGGAGCACATGTATGGGCTACTACATTTATCTTCTCTCTGTGAGACAGAGTCTTGAGGATTCTCTGCTTTGGAACTGAGATCCGCTCCATCTCAGCCTCCTATGTCCATAGATACAGGTTGGGAGGGGTGTTATAAATTTTTCTGCCTAGCCTGGCTTAGAATCAAGATCCTCCCCTTCCCAGCCCTCCAAGGAGATTCTCAAGAGTGAGCCAACCATAAGGCGCCAGTTGTCTATTTTGTTTCCAATATGAATCATATTTTTTCTATATAACATCCACATTTATAAAATTGCCCAGAACTATTTTTTTTGGCATTTGAAGACCATTATTTAAGATGTGATAGTTTGGTTTCATCATTAAATACTGAAATAATGGGGTCAAAGTGAGGTTAACAGGGGGTGGGAAAGGAAGGGAAGGAGGAAGGAGTGGACAGAGGGAAATTCAAGGAAAGAAGGTTTGGAAGAAAAGGTTATCCATGGGGGTCTTAACTAAGTGGGGTTATTGACTGAAATCATTTGTCTGAGCTAAACTTTAAAAAAAAATAAGTTCTTATTTTGTTGATTCAACAAATGCCTTTCAAGAGTGTATACTTCCTTAGTAAGCAGATGAACAAAACAGCATTTGGCCACCACTGAGTAATAGATACTTCCTTCCATTGTCTAATGATTTTTGCAGCCCATATTCTACCTCTAGTGCCATTGAAAAAAGTTAGAGTGCCTGTGACTTTTATGAACAAAGTTTGTTTGATGACAAATTTATGGGTTAAGTTTTCCCATGGCTTTCCTGGGTGACACAAATTAATGCCAAGTTTTAGAAGCATGCTCTGTTGCAGTCATAGAATTCACTGCCCCTCCAAACCATAGCATCCCCTGGGGGACCCCCTCCAAACCATAGCATCCCCTGGGGACCCCCGTTGCTTAGGCTCTTACTGTCTCCTCAGCCCATGGGTGTCTCAAGGACAGGACCTGGATCCCTGAAGAATGGCAACCTAGTCGGAACTTAGTATCTGTAGGAAGAAATCAGTGTTGCCCAAAATATCTTTGTTTACATATACTGATTTTTTTAGACTTCTATTTTTATTGGATTTGGATTCTAAGATTAGGCTGGTTGGCTGAAGTCTATATATTTTTTAATTTTCATAGTTTTTTGTTTGCTTTCCAAAAAAAGCTGGAGCAATTCTTTCTCCCATATTCTCACTCATAATAAGTTTTATTTTTTAAGTTTTTTGCCAATTTAATAGTTATAAAGATTGTTTAAAATGTTGTTTTGCTAGCTGTTCATAAGCTTGAGTATCTTCCTGTCTTGGTTGGTCTGTGAATTAACTTTTATATATTTAACCCACTTTCACACAAAATTTGTATGCATGTACATATTTGTGTGTGTATCCATATATATACATACCCATATATATACCCCAAAAGTATAAAGCTCTTTTTATTTAAAAACTCAGATTCTAGGTAATTCCAGACCTGTATCTTATTAGAAATACTTAGGCATATATAAATGAAAATGAATGCATAAATATCTCACTAAAGTGTTGTTTTGAAAACATGAAGTTTGATAGCTGCCTATGGTAATCCTTATTTTTCTTTCTTTCTTTTTCTTTCTCTTACTTTCTCTTTCTTTCTTTCTCTTTCTTTCCTTTTCTCTTTCTTGCTTTCTCTCTCTTTTCTTTCTTTCTTGCTTTCTCTCTCTTTTCTTTCTCTTTCTTTCCTTCTTTCTTTCTTTCTCTTTCTTTCTTTCTTTTCTTTCTTTCTTTCTTTTTTTTTTGTCTGTCATAGGGCTTCAGTTTTGGGCCTGGGAGCTGTCCCTTCACTCAACTCAAGGTGAGCACTCTACCATTTGACCACAGCGCCACTTCCAGTTTTGTAGTGGTTAATTTGAGATAAGAGTTTCACAGACTTTCCTGCCCGGGCTAGCTTTGAACCATGATTTTCAGATCTCAGCCTCATGAGTAGCTAGGATTACAGGTGTGAGTCACCGCACCTGGCTTGTTACTTTCTGTTACTTTTCAAGTAATAAACTTGGATTTCACTTGAAATCATCACCAACTCTGACATTAGGTAAGGACTATAGTACTGACCCATGGGAGGGTTGGTAGGCAGACCAGAGTGGCCAATATCTGGTGAAATGGTATTGGAATAATGCTCATGGTAGAGTTGTATTAGCTGTCCTGGAGACCTTAATGTTCTCGATTCATGCAAGGAAGCTGAGAAGATGAACTCATTCAAGGCTGGGGCTTTGTCAACCAATGAAGGGCAAGATACTAGACAGAATGGTAGAAATGATGAGTTAGAGGAACCCAATTAGGAGGGAAAAAGGTGAAGAAAGGGAGAGAAAGAAATTAAGGCCTAGATTTGTGAAGACAAAGTCGTAATGGGGTGTATGGAGAGTAGGTGGAAGAGGAAAGAAACATGATGGGGAAGAAAAATGCCTTTCTATAGGTGTCAGAGATCAGGCAGTCCCTAGGGAGGAAAGGATGGCTGAGATTGTAGGTAGCTGAGTGCACAGAGGAGCTATACCCTTTGAGAGCTCAAGAAAGGTAAGGGGGCTCTTGGGCATTGGTTACATTGTCACTCAAGTTTCAGGCAAAGAATAACTGTTTTTTGGCCAGGTATCACAGTTATCAGTGACAAGAGGCACTAGGAGACTCTAGGCCATATTGATAAAATAAGTTGGAAAAAGAAAAAGAAATTAAATGTGTAGGAATGTGGGAGGAAACGGTTAATGTAACACAGCAATACTGACTGGCACCTCAAATTGGAAAGAAGGGATTTCAATGAGAAGTGAATGTAGGATTGTGAATCTTTTGGGTGGGGTATAAGTCTCTGTTGTTCTTAAGTGGTATATAAAAATGAAAGTTGCAAGAAATTCAAATCCATGTTTCATTAGTTGAGCTTACCCTAAGACAAAAACTGGAAGATCACAGTAGGACTTTCTGAACCTCCCAGACAACCTCACATGTAAAAGGGGCAGGATTCTAGAAGGAGATGTAGTAGCTTGCCAATTCCAATTCCGGTCAGGCATTCTTAGAATACCTTGGAGTGGATTTTTGGTCTCCTAAGGATTTTGCTTTCAAACTATCACCAGGGCTAACCCATAAAGCTCTTTGAGTTTTCCTACTGAACCATGTTTCATAAGTTGTAGCCTGCATGGTGGTAGAAATACCTGAATTTCACCTGTGGGACTTTGATTCCTCATGGACTTTACCTTCCACATAAAGAAGAATTCTGTGCCTTGTCTTGAGAAAATGAAATAAAAATACCCCCTTTGTCTGAGTAGTTATATTCCATGGTTAAACATTAGGCAGTTTATTGGTGTATTCCTGACTTGCAGGACCCGAGACCTCTTACAGAAAGCTGCAAGGAGCAGCTGGGACACATGCGAACTCGCATATGTGAAATGCTGTGGTACCCCCAGCAAAGCACATCTCAACACCACCCAATTAGCACAGGGCTGTAGCCACAGTGCTGAGCAACAATGCTGGGGAAAGCTTAGCAGGGAAGCCTCTCAGACATTGCATAAATGCACAAGACATAGAAAGAATTCACAGCAGGCAGGCAAATTATGTATGGTATTGCAAGGGTGAAAGGAGATTTCTTCAAACCCCCTGGTGTCTGTTACTCTGTCCTAGTGTTTGGACATATGGAGATACCATTCCCATTAAACTAGCAAGATGTGTCAGAAGACTTGGCCTCCCTTAAGAAC